GGGGGCCTCATTTGGTCTCAGTTTGTCCAGACGCTCCCCATCCAAACGGTCACAGCGCCAGAGCTGCATGAAAATGCAGCAAAAGCCTTTGTTAAAATCAAAGCCTCACATAACCTCAAGAAGAAAATCCTCCGCTTTCGGTCGGGCTCCCTGAAGCTCATGACAACTGTCTAGTGAAGGTGACTTGGTGGAATGTATCTGCTTCTCCTTTCCGAAGCAAGGTGCTTTTGTGTACATATTTCCACAGATTTTTCTCTTTTTTTTTTTTATATACAAATATTTAAAACTTAAGGTAAATTATGTCACGTGTCTTCAGAACTTGGGTGGATACTAGTGCCTTTTATGTGGAAATAAAAGACAGTTATACTCATTTAAAAAAGAAAAGAAAGGTAACACTGCCATTTCAGTGGTGAACAACCTCCAGTGCATGGTGTCAGAAGGCTTTGAAATAGGGCTAATGTTCCTGGGAATGGATCTCCCTTGCCTAGATTTTCCTGTTCTGGGTCTTGTACAGGATATCAACAGCTTAAGATCTTAAGTTTTTAGGGGATAAGGGGGAGGGAGTGCAGGTGCTCTTCATGTATTGCTTGTCCCTTTCTGCTGCTCCTGTTGCCACATCTTGAACTTCCTCATGGCTGTCTCGCCTGGTTTCTTCTTGTTGTTTTTTTTTGTTTATTTTATTTTTTTGTTGTTTGTTTGGTTTTTTTTTGTTTCTGATTTGTTCTCTTCTTGAAACTCACCCCCGTGTTCTCCCCCAGCCACCCCCCACCAGGAAAGTGCTCCTGTTCAATTTGTCTTTGAGGTTAAGTCGCCTTCTCTGGAGTACACTCTGCTCCTGTCTCCTGGGAGTCCCACTGTGGATAGTGGTGGTGTTCAGAGTAACTTGTTGGAGCAGCTGAGCAAGGCTTAATAACATTAGTATATTGTGTAAAACTGCTTTTGAAAAAGAAAAAAAAACCCATATGCATGTCATGTGCATGAGTATCAGTAGTTTTAATATTCCCGTTGATGTCCGATTTACTGTACATCACCAATGGCTGTTTTTATATATATATATATCATTGTGTAAATTAATATAACACATCATATGCTGTAATAAACAGTCTGTTTTAATACCTTTTAAAAGTTTGTTACATTGGTACAGACCCAGTCAATGGCTTTATGTTGGCTTTGGCACCGCTTCGGTATCTGTGATGTGACCTGTTAACGTTCATTGCATTTAGCCATGCAGGAAACAGAGCAAGTTTAAAATGTTGCTGTGGATGTGACTTGTGCTTTGAGGGAACTGGATTGTCATGGACCCTCTTGTTCTTTCTGTAACTTGCATCTTTTTTAAGGACAAGGTGAGATATAGTTGCTATAGGCATCTTCAGGTTGTTGCTTATGGGCAGCTCATGATGTGGAACAGATAGAAATGTAGTATTAGTCTTCTTTGCTGTGAAGGTGCTTGCAGACTTTGGTTGGTACAACACAGAGGCAGATGGTAGGCTTCTGTAACCAGATAGATCTGTGTAACTCAAAGGGTGCCCCCCCTGAAACGTCCAGTAAATGAATCCCCAAGAACTGTGTGCTCTGGGAGCTGGGCTGGGTGGAGGAGAGCATAGACTTGCTGTTCTTGGTGCTTTCTTTAGATGTGGTAGCTGACTGTGTAACAACCCTAACAAGGTTATGGAAAGAAGTGACAGTTGTGTCACCCACTGGTCTTTATCTCAGTTTCTTTTTTTCCGTAGGACAGGAGGTGAGTCTGCCAGCACAGGAGAAAGGAGCTAACCCTAGACAGCACTGCTTCCCTTCGCAGCAACAGCATTGACATTGCCTGGGGGAAGGCTGGAGATTTATGCCAGGCATGACTGATGGAGCAGGCTCAGAGGTTGGGCTGGTTTCTGCAGGTTCATCTGCTTTGGCATCTGTGAAGCAGTGGCCATACAACTGGTGTGGATGCTGTGACTGATAGGAATTTCAGGGATATATGTGCAAGACTGTCTGTTCTGTAGCAGGATCTGAGCAGACACCTTCCTTTGTGGTTCCTCTGTGTCTTTTCTGCTGTCACCCACCTGGAAGGCAGAGCAGTTTTCTTCTCAGGTTTCCTTGTGTTGCAAATGCAGGAAGGAGAGATCCACCCAGAATTAAATTTCTCTGGGAGCAGCTTCTGAGAAAGTGGAAACACTTTTCCTAAGTGCCAGATTTTATTTGTTTTTAATCTGCAGTATAGTAAATCCATATCTATAAAATGTCCCTCTCAGTTTTCCCCTTTTTTGTTAGAGGAATGCCAATTTCTGTAAGGGATTCTGAAGTATGGTCACAAGGTTTTGGATTCAGTGACCCACAGTCCTTGCACTTCCATCTCCCATGATGACAGGAAAAGCTGTAACTCACCTTATCTGGTTGTAACTCTCCCATTGTTTTACACATGGAAGAGTAGCTTATTTATATATATATATAGTACATGTACAAAAATTTTATATGTTGATGTAGAATGAGTCATCCAGAAATTAGTGGACAATGGCTGCCACTGCAGAGATTTTAAACATCATCACTAAGGTTAAGCAGCAGCTGAATGCATTCCCGTTAATAATTGATAGGTGTCATATCAAATGGAGGGAATGTCAAGACACTTGTCGAAGCTAGTAGTTTTCCTAGAATATCTCTTAATCATCCCACATAATCTCTCCTTGAGTGAGAAAAAACACGTGCAAATCCCTGTAAATCTCCTCAAAGGTGTAGTAGAATAGCAGATGATCTTCAGACATGCACCCTGCCTCTCTAGCTGTAAAGGAGCCACTGGTGAGAAGACAAACTAACCAGTGGCTTTGGGATGATGAGTTTTCAGAAGTGAGCTGCTGAATAGTTACTTTTTAGGTAACTGATTAAAAATAGGTGATAAAATAACCACCTAGTATCGCTAAGACTGTTATCAGCTGCAACAACTCTATTCTGCAGTACTCTTGTTGAAGAACAGACAGGGAAATGGGCTGATCCTATCGCCCTCTTAATTGCATTTGAGTCTTTCCAGTTTGGGGAAGGAATTTTCCTTTTCCTACATGATTGAGGTAAACATCCAGAATCCTTTAAATAGGCCTAGGTTTTTCTCTCTTTCCTTCCCCCCCCCCCCCTTTTTTCTTTTAATAAAAGGTATTACAGTGCTGGAAAAGTACTTGGTATAGTCCAAACACACAACACACATTCTTTTCTCTGGTTGTGATTTCAGAAACGTATCTAAGTTTTTGTAACATTAGGTTGAAAAACATCTGCTAATCTTGGAGACCAGTTAAATATCTGGCACTTGTTTAAAGCTACCTGGTTTTCTAGCTCCACAGCCTTGAGTCCTTGCCAGTGCATTTTTCATAATCATGTTTTAATTATCCCCAGTGTTTACAGTAGGTGTTGGAAGTTTGAAGTGTGAACGTTTCATTGCACTGGGGCCTATCTCAAGGTGAGGACAGCTTGTGGAGGGAAGGTTTGGGATTAGCTGCCCCTGTGCTCCATATATAGCTGAGTACAGGAAAGTACAGAAGCACATGCTTGACATAAAGAGTAAGAGCAGACTCCCTTTTGCTGGGTTCCCTGTGATTCAGGTTATATGGTGTTGCTGCACAGCTCTGAAGTACCATCTCTCCCACTGCAGGAATCAGCACCATGCACACTCTGAATTGCTGTCACCTGAAAGGGATGAGGGTGTTACTGGGTGGTTTGCCTTCTATCAGGCTTTTTGGGTCTCCCTTCTGCTCCCTAACCCCAGCCATCAGATCTGCGTCAGCAGATAACGAAACAAGCTGTGTCTTGTGCATGTGTGGGGTCAGAGAGAGGCCCTGGCATTGTACCTAGATGTCCCAGCTATGTGGGGCCCCTGTTGTGGACCTCACACTTGTCATGAGAAATTTGATGTGCCAGTGGTGCAAGGGTCTGTGCAGCTGGGTCTGAAGGAAGGTGGGAATGGAGAGTCCCATACATAGAGTGGTCTGATCCTGATTCATCTGTATTTTCAGGAGAGGCTCAAAGAGGAGGTGTTTCAGTCTAATGCCTAGGCCAGTAAGCTCGACCAGGCTAAACTCACCTCATTTCTTCCAGTACTGTTTAAATGATCAAGGCCTCTATCAGGACTGCCAGTTGCTGAGGCGCTTCAACCATCTGACCAACTCCTGCAAGTACTTCACTGGGAGAAGTGATAAGCTCCAGTCCCCCAGGTCTGTTCTGACCTTCCAGCACAAACCCTGCTTACACAGAGATTGTAGGTCCCAGCCCTTTGCAGCTTTCCCAGTCCTCTGGCCCCAGGGGGAAACTGTCCATTCCTTACAAGTTTTCTAGGTTTATTCTGGCTTGGGGTTTATCCTGGATAAAGATTGGCAACAGATTCTCCACGACAGAGTGCTGTGCCTTCACTAAGATGAAATCTATTTGTTGGCCCAGAGAAACTTCAGGCCCTTCTCAGGGGGCTGCCAGCAAAGCCATCCCCGAGGTACCTGCATCCCTTTCTGCCACAATGGGCAATGAAGGCTTTTGTTAGGTGAGATCACTACTGAGCAAATGGTTCACCACCATGGGCACAGCTCTCCCTCAACTTGTGACTTTTCTTGCAGGACAGGGGGGAACAAGCACATGAATATTTTGAGGAAGCACAAACATCTAAAGACATTTTTAATAACTTCAACACCTAATAACGTACATTTGGAGTAGCCAACAGTAACACATACAACTGAGCTGCTAGTACAAAAACCAAAACCAGTCTTAAGTCTGCAGTGTCCTGTCCACAGTACAGAGAGGGTACTGCTGACCAATGGAGGCAGTTCATAAACCCCAGGCCCATCTTTCAAACTTGCTTTTCTTCTGAATTTCTTTGAACCTCCAAGGAATTGTGTTGAGGCTCCTTGCATGGCATGAGGTTTCTGTAAACATTATAGATGTATAGGTCTGTAGTGAGAAAGAATTGCTCTGGGGTTTAAGAAATCCCATAATGCTGAAATAAGGACACATGGACACAAATGATCAATCCATACAGAAAGTGTGTTTTATAGCAGGGAATTTACTACCACAGGAAATAGTGAGGCAGACATAATATCAGCAAGTTCAAAGGGGTTAGAGTAGGTAGGGAAGGATGTGTGCTCTACCATTCCCAGGCAGTGACTGTGGATGCTAGGAGTGTGAAGTGAATGGACTGCAAAGAGTGGCTAGGCTTGCGTGCTCCCCTTAAGGATTGTCTTTTCCTGCAACTGCTGAAGCACCAGTAGCTGGAGGAAAAGTGGACCCAGTGGGCCATTTTCTATATTCCTGTGATCTTGGTGTAGCTGACGGGAGTTGTCTATGCAATCGAATTCACTCTTAGTCTTTTGTTCTCCCAACTGCTGCTGAAGAAGAGTTTTGCATTGCTTTGCAAAGAAGTTCACTTTGCACATTTGGCTGATGGTGGCATGCATTTGTTCAAACTATGGACATGTGTTTCTGGTCGCTCTTGTCTGATGGAAGAATAATTCCATCTGCCTTTTCACATGGGCAGTCTGTGATGAAGTGCTCTGTTGCAGTGAGTGTTGTCTCCCTCTAATGCAAACACTGTTACTAATATATAATCCATGTATTAGTCTACCATTGGAGTCACTGTTGGGCAGCAATTTTACATCCTACAGTTACTTCTGAACTGCAGGAAAACTTGTTGACCTCCATGCCAAACAAACTGACCTAGTGACAGAGTGCATCTACTGCACATTGCCTTAGGACTTTGCTGTCCCTGGAGAGTTTTTCTCTCCCTCTACGTCTACATTTGTTCTTTTTTTTGGAGCAACAGAGCAGGCTGAAAGCAAGTCCTGTGGTCTTCTCTACTTCTGCTGATTTGGACAGCAGAGGAGTTTTGGTGCATGATAGCTAGATGCCTTTGGGATGCCAACACAAATGGTCCGCTCCAGAGACACAGAAAATGTGCTTCTACCTGGACAGGTACATGGGGGTCTGAACCAGTACTGACTCCCTAGAATAGCTTCCTATCAAAAAATGTGAACAAGTTTGATCCAAATCACATTGAGGACCAGACTAAATCTAGGCTGAAGTAAACACTTGAACTGTGTATCTTGTACTTGTGGGGACCTCAGTTTGGACCTGCTCCCTTTGTGCCAAATGACTTGTTAATGTAAACAGACATAAACAGAACCTCTCTTTCAGTTAATGGCCTTTGTTTCCATGCTGTATTCCTTTAAGATCAATAAAGTATATTAATATTAATAACTTGATTTCACTGAGAAAAGCTCTGAAAATCTGGCTTTTGTTCTTTTAAAAGGAGTTGGAAGTCCTAGAAACTAAGATTTTCATGACAATACTGAAGGAAAATCTGTATGAATTGGACACTGACCTTATGAGTAACGGCTTTGTAAGCAAATTAAGTGTTTTCTCCCCCAAAAGTTCAAGTCTTTTGTGGTCAAGGTCAGGAAGCTGGAAAACTTGCAACCTGTTGGAAAATGTGTTACCTGTGTCTCCTTGCATTCTGTGAGCCTTGTGTCTTCAGAAATGAGATTTTCATGAGGAGGAGAGGAAGCCTGAGGTCCAGGGAGGAGAAGAATCTAATCAATCTTCATCTCTGAAGTACTCATGCAGTAAGTGTTTAAGCATGTGATTAAGCCCATTCTTACTCAGTGAAGCATTTCAGAGCATGTTTTAGGTACTTCATGGCTGGGGTGAATTAAGCAGGTGCTCAGGAATGCTGGTGGATCAAGGTCTCCCTTGCCTTTGCGAAAGTCCTGTATCTGTCTGTATAAGCTATCCCAGTGACTTCTTTTGGCTAATGTTGTAAGGACTGTGCATTCCCTTAAGAGTCAGACCCTGTGTGATGAAACTTGATTCAAGATGTTAATCTGAACTCAGGAAAAGCACTGTCTTTAGTCTGTGCTTGAAGCAGTAATGGAAAGAAATGCTTTTAAAGGAAGAGATGCATTTGCTATTTGTAGAATTTGAAGACACTGGGCTAAAAACACTTGGAGATATATGAGTGTGAATGTGCCTGTGCTCTGTACCAATAACAGGACTTCGTGTGAGCCCTGGGAATGGCACTTAGGGAGAGACAGAATGACCCTTTCTATATTTGCTCCCTTCCCTTGGATATCCAGGTGGAGCTGGGAGAATGATGCAGGCAGGGAGGGCCAGGCACAGACACCAAACCTGCAGGGCCTGGAGTTCCAACCATTCAAATGCTTGGCTAAAACAGTGGGATCTCTGGGCTACCCAGAGCTGGAAACCAAAGTAAGGGTAGGTAGAGAGGGTGACTTTGCCTGGCTTCAAGGAAAGCTGCAGTTTGACTGAGCAAAAAGTAGAGGCAAGGGAAGGGTTAAAAGTTTGTCTTCTCTTCCCAGACACATTATTTACAGTGGGTTGGTTTCCTTTTGGAAGGGCCCACTGTAAAAGGAGACGGCCCAGCATTTTCACAGGTTAGACCTGTATCTTGTTACAGTTTTCTTTCCTTGATTCTTGACTCTCTTCCTGTAGTTGCTCTTCTCTTGGGAAGATGAACTCAGGAAAGAGTAGGAGTTTGCTAAAAATCCAGAGCCTTGGAAGACAAAATCATGCTGATGGCCTTTTCTTTCTAGGCATCAGGTCAGTCCTCAATGCTGCATCATGTTCTGTATCCCCCAGTGCAGGGCAAAGGCTGGGAAAGGAGTGGGACAGGAAATCCATTGGGTTTGATAAGAGAGCAGTCTGTAGATTCTGTTGGAGCAGCTTGCAAAGGCTGTAGCACTAACCACAGGAGCAGTGCCTGACTGCGACGTGTGAGCAGCCATCTCATCTGGTGGCCAATGAGGTCAAGGGTAGTGTTGGGTATTGACCTTGATATCATCACAGTGTCTGCTGTCACTCAAGCCACCTTCATGCCTCCAGGCCACAGCAGACAGCATGTTCATCCTGGTGTTTCCTTTGCTGCTTTTTAAGTCTTCATGAAACACATAGTGGCTTATCATTAAAGCACAAGCACCAAATGAAACTGAACTTCTGGCTTGTTTCTCCTGTCAAACGCCTCATGTTAGTGCTTTCCTTGATGTTCAGTCGCCTGGAAGGAAGAGAAACTATACCCTTCACATCTGCAACATATGAATTTTTCACAGGTGCCTTCTGAGTGATGTGGAACAACACACTGGGGCAACACACCCCTCTCTTCAACACTGTGCAGGACATACTGAAGCAACCCTGTATCTGCACAATCCGCAGCTACCCCAAGATATTTTTCAGACAGCGATATTGGGACTGGGAGGATTGGATCTGACTCAACCCCCTTGAAGCCCATCACTACTTAGGGTGAAGATGTTCCTGCAGGGAGAGGAGGAAGCATGCTCAGAAATGTTTATTATTATTGTTAAACTCCTTTTTTTTCCCCTCCCCTGCCATGGAGATAGTGATCTCTGCTGTGGTCCCTGCTGCTTTCTTTTTCCTGTGTTAATCTACATTAAGACTTGCTGCACTTCAAAGATGGTCTTAGCCCTAAGAGAGGCTTTTGTTGCTGACCTATAGGATTTTGATTCAGAGTATGTGTCTTCCCCTGGGCCTGTTGCAGATGCCCACCGTCCCCCTAGGTAGGTAGTTTGGGATCACTTATATGCTAATGTGGGCACTCCAAACCTTCCTCCCTTCTCTCTTCTTTGCCATTACAGTGGGATATTTTAACTTTATTCCTCTGTCCTGTTGACTCTCATCTGAAGTCATCCAGGTGTGGGGTGTTCCTCATAACTTCAGAGCACAGCACTTATGTCTTTGGTCTAAGTAAACTTTGTGGATCCATTATAAAAACAGGACATACGAAATGAATTTCACATTTGAAAAAAAAAAGGTTTTTCTTATATTTCTCCCCTTTATGAACTTCTCAACACCAGTGTTATGATATGAACAGGAAACACAGCAAAAGAAGTGAAAATAATAAATCCCCATCTCTACTGTATAGCAGAGTCAACGCTTTTTTTGTGGGGGGAAGGAAACAAAAGGCCTGCCAAAGGATCCTCACTGATACTAATCTAAAACCCCCCAAATTTACTGATCTACAATTAGGAGGGGTAGCAAAATGGACAAATGGGAGCTTTGATGCTGGGCAAGATGTAGCTGGTCCTTGTGCTGGAAACTGATTCCTCTGGTTGCTGGATCCACTTTTGTTCCTGTTGATTGATTCTGAGATTGTTTTCTTGGTGGTCAGGGCTGCTTTCAGAAACCACTTATGGTGCACTGATAAAAAGGCCGATTTTGTGTGTAAACATCCCAATAAGCAGGTCTTGACATGGTTTGTTCAAGCCCTACATAAACTTACAGGTGGTGTCAGTGTCTCCCACATATGATTCCCAGGAGAACTTCCCCATAGTGTGCTCCAGAGCTCTCAGCTTTTACAGAACACACAGCTGCATTCCAAGGAGGAGCCTTGGTGCTTGCCTGATATGTTGCAGGTATGTCTCTGGGAACAACACAGATCTTCTGGAAACATATTTCTCATAATGAAGACAAAGTTAGGCTCCCAGTGGCACCTATCATTGACTGGATAAGGTAAGCAAGATGTCTGTGCACAGCAGCTGCTGGCTGCCATCTCTAGGTCCATGAGCAGTGAGAAATGTCCAGCGTTACATGAAGCAGAGTAAGAAACCTCTTGTACACTCTAAGTATCCTTCAATCCCATTTCAGCCTTTGAAAAATCTGTCCCCTATAATTTCTAGCAAACTGTAGAAAAAAAAAAAAAAGTCATTTAGGCACTGATTTTTTTCAAGTGAATTTCTTCCTTTTTCTCCATTTTCTTTGTCTTTGCATGTGATGAGCTGGTCTGAGCACTGGGATCCACCCATGAAGCTGTAGGCGTTCACAGTGTCAGGTGTGTAGTCCTCGGGCAGATCAAATATTTCCATTAGGAGCTGATAGATAAATTACAGAGATTTTACATCACGCTCCTCCTTTGGAGAGCTTGGGATTGTAAGATAGTTTGTATCATCTTCCTTAGAGACCAAGCAATTTAGATTTGACTGATTTGTATATCCCTGCAGTGTTTCTGGTGGGCTGTATAGGGTATGAAGCTCTCTGCCTCTGACCTGAGAAGAGCTGAAACAGGACTGATGAGCAGAGTGACAGATGTTGAGAGGGAAATGGCTACAGCTATCCTGTGATGGTGTCTGCTAGGAATGGGCTTAGAAGAATGATTCGGGTTTGGGAAGAAGTTTAATTTTGATGAAATTTGACTAAATTCCCTCTAAAGTGGAGCAAAACGCAGCCAGGCAGAAATTCTGCAAAAGGGAATAGTGCAGCAGTTTGCATTGTGGATTGTCTCAAGAGCCAATCTTGGGAGCACTGAGCCTCTCCACTGAGTTTCATGGGCTCTCAGTCTGTGGATGCTCTTGTGATTTGCCCCTCAGACAGTCTAGCATCTGGGACACTCCAAACTGAGAAGTATGTAAGCAGTGAAATCCCTTCTTGAGAAGCAGCCTATTTGGCAGCAGGCTGCCCCAGGGCCCTGGAAACCTGAGTGGTGGAGGAACCAGATGGGTGACCAGGCAGGAAACTCAGCAGGTTTCTTATGTTTGGATCCCTGTACAAGTTTCATGGGAACCTGGGCAAAATTGACTCACCTTGTTGAGATTTTGCTGAATTGGTGAATTCCTCTGAAATGCTGTCTTGCCTGAAACCTTCTGAGCAGGTGCAGTATCTTCAGCTATCTTTTGAAGACAGACAACATGTTCTGTGCTTTGCAACATGGGTCTTCTGAGAGTCAAAGCAGCACTTGTCTTTGCTATTGAGTCCTCTGCCAGCATTCACACTCTTGAAGTGGTGTTGAGGAGGGAGGGTACAGGAAGTTGGCAGTGACAAGTGAAGGATGCTGGCAGGTTATTCTGATCCTTAGAAAATCATTGTGTTCTCCTCATTACACTACACCTCATCCACCTACTCTGTCTTGTGCTAGAGACTATGAGTTTTCCATATTAAATTCGTTCCCCACGTTCTCTGTTTGTTTTCACAGCCTCTAGCTGAGTTTCCTAGGTGCTACCCTTATATAAACAGTAATAAAGGCGGCTCTGCCCTGCTGCAAACCATTTCTGAGGATGTTCCCTCTAATTCTCTTCCTAGTTTAGTGTTGTATCATTAAAAGGCATGAGGTTGTTAATTGGAGGCTTACAGCTTTTGTGGCTGATGCAAACCAGTGTGTGTGTAATGGCTGCAAATGCTCAGGTGAACGCACTAAGAGGGGAAAGAAGCAGATGGCCACGAGCAGAAGGTTCCCTGCTAAAGGTGACAGGAAAAGGTTAGTGATAGGGTTGCCCCGGAGCTGGAAAAAAGAACCTAATACCTGGACAACTGGCAAAGAGCCTGGCTAGACTGTGGCTTTGTTCCCTAAAGGGGGCTGCTGCTGTGGCAGACTCATACATCAAAGCTCTCATAACAAAACACAGCAGAGATCTGTATCACCCAGCCTGTGGCACTGGCGGGAAACGGATTGGTTGTCAAGTCAGAGGCTCTTTCTGAATAGATGGCTGGGTAGGAGTTAGTGGGTGCTTGCAAAATCTCGGAAGGAGCCTTTAATTTGCATGTGATACTGTATGTTCTAGTGAGCATCTAGATGTTTATCTCAGCTGCATTAGTCACCAAGAGTCTGCTCTCAACTTTTCCGTACCTGAGCTGCAGGCTTCTTTTGCCAGTTTTTGGAAAAGGTTTGAGGTGAGCACTGTAAGATTTGTTGGGCTTTTTCTCATTTTGACTGGGAAATATAACAGGGACAGGTTTTCTTGGTAATATTCTGCAGAGCATATTTAGTGCTATGACTTTGTGTGTGCTGTGATAGGCTTTCAGACCCTTGCCCTGGGAGCCAGTGGTCTGAAAAGTCTTATCATGCTCCTAAACAAATAGCTCTGTCCTGAAGCCCATTAGAGGAACTACAGAGCTGTGCTTCTCCCAGCCTGATGTTAAATGCCTCGCAGTGCCAAAGGTAAACAGGATCAATCAATCGTCCTCCCAGGGACCGTCTAATGGCAGTCCACGGATCAGGCTTGGCTTTTGAGGTCATTTTTATCTGCCTTGGGGATTGCAAGCTGACCAAATTGGGGTCTTGCTCTGCATGTGCAGGATGAAGAGTGCAAGGTTGGGTCTGACAGGGTGTGTTAATGAGGTGAAGCCAGTGTAAATATACCTGTTATGATGAGATCTGCAAAGTGATGAGGCTTGAGCACGCAGGCTCTGGCCATCTTTGCTCTCCTGCAAAGCCAATATTGCCATAGTGCATCTGCTGGCTTGGCTAAACAACAGCTTGATGCTGCTTTCGCTTCTGTGCTTTTGTACCTATGGTGTGTTGTTTGTTTTCTTTTGACTATGCCAAAAAAGAGCTTAGCTCAGTGAGGAAACCAAACTCCCAGCAATGCCTGAAGAATACAGACAATTTAATAGTCTGAAGTTTTGCTAATCCAGACAGTAACATGAGCTCAGGGTCCCACTGCCAAGGTCCCACTATAACTTTGCACATCATCCACTGAGATTTAGAGCCTACCAGGTTATGGGCTGTGTATGCAATTAAAAGGCTCTTTTCCCCAAGGAGTTCACAATGCAGAGACAAAATATTTATCCTCCCAATTAGTTTATTGCAGCAGACTGGGGCACAGAAGTCAGATTATCTGGGGGCATGCTAAAACTGTTCATGTGCCATTGAACTTGGAAAAGGCATTTTTCATGACATCTGGTTTCAATTGATTTGTCGTCAATTCAGAGTGCCAGACCCATTTTATGGACCATTAAGGTACACAACACTGACACGGCGTTGCAGCTGTAATCCAAACATGGGTATCCAAAGTAAGAGTTCTGCTACCTCTTGCCGGTGACTGTGTAGAAAATAAGAATCTGGCTGCCATGGTCTTCTGAATGCAGCTCCTTTTACCATTTGAGAAAGCTGCAGGCTGGACCATCACCTTCAGTCATGCCATACACAACTTGGTCCAATCTGTGGTGCCTGGACAGACCTTAGTGGGGAGCAGGGACACAGTTATGTGTTGGAGAGCACACCAAGCATTATGGAGGTCTTCGCGATGCCTCTCTCCTACATGATGCAGACTCCTTCCCCAGCCTACCTCTGCACTTTGCTTTTAGCGCTCCAACAACCTTCTTGTGCAAGCAGCCTGTTGTGGCTGTGATTCTGCCAGTATGGGAAAGTGCTGAGAGGAGCCTTGTTCATTTAAATGTGTGCAACCACAGCTCATGCTTTTACAGCATATATTCAGTGAAGCAATGCCTTTATCTACAATACTTAGCCTTTATCTAACATCTTTTCAATCTAAAGCTTTTTTTGAAACGCAGATTAAGTAATAACAACGTAGGATAATTGAGTGCATTTTTTCACAGTGACATAATGATACTTATCTATGGCTACTGAAAAGCAAGGATAATATACTGTGAGTGCTGTATTATCTTGCTTCTGAAGCAGACCAAGTTTGGCATTAGGGCTTAAGTAATTGAAATACGGCTCCTTCTACCAAAACTTATTTGTTTATAATAAAGCTTAGTACACCTTTCTAATGGACATTGCAATGTCAGAAGCACTGACACGATTGCTGACTCCTTGTAGCCCGTAAAGTTAGTAGTGTCTTGAGTGTGCAGATCGTCCCGTGTAAGAACTACATCTGATATGTCTCCTAACAGTAAGAGTAAACAGTGAGAGTAAACTCCATCTTGCTGTGAGAGGCATTGACCTTGGGGATCACTGTTTGTAATGTATGTTAATTTTTTTGGATGTCAGGTGAGATGCAGTTCTGAGCATGCTCTGCTGAGCACCATCATGGCTTTTGTGGGTAATTAGTTATAACACTGCTGTGAGCAGACCTTATAAACCCACTGGGAGATTTTATTTACATAGGAGGCTTGGTGGAATAAAGTGACAGGTTGGCATGATGAAACAAGCTGGACTCCCTTTGAATCTTACTGAGTGAGGAGGAA